AAAAAAAAAAAAAAAACCCAGGAGTACATAAACCTAGTGGACTTCCATAGAGTCTCACAGAAACTGTTTAAATGTTTGTTGACTAAATGAATGAATCCATTAAAAAAAAAAATCACTAAGAGAGCTGTGGTGCACATTTCTTATAACCTTGCAACTTTCGAGCCATATCCCCAGAATAATCCAGTGAAGCACACAGGTGTTACGCCTTATTCTCAAGGGCAGGACTGTGCACCAAGAGGAGCCCAGTAGGAGTTCGCTCACCCCCAGTGAGAATAGGATAGCATGGGCAGCCACCTCCCTTAGGAAATAGCTAACATGTAATAGACCGATGATAGATGTTGGCTAAATTGAATGCAAGGCTTGTGCTGGAAACATGACTTTTTTGTTTTCAAGGTCTATAATAGAAGACTCTTTTCCAGGTAAACTTGCCTTGTAGCATGCTGCTTCTAGCACTTGGAACTCAGACTCATGGAGTCAATATTGGTTTTCCCTCTCCAGATCTTCATCGTACAGAGACTAAAACCATGGGGGTTTTGCAGCAGGAGCTACACTGAGCTGCCTTGGCTAATTTATGGAGCAACTCTGCTGAAATCTCAGTGTGCAAACAAATTACTGGAGAATCTTTTTAGAATGTAGGGTTCAATTCAGGAGGTCCAGAGGGGGCTGGAGGCTCTGCATTTCTAATGAGCTCCTGGTGAGGTGGATGATACTGGTGCATGAATCATATGTTGAGCAGTAAGGTCATTAAGAGGTGGGTTTCTAAGTAGTTAGAAGAAGCACATAGGGTATGATGGACAAGCACTGGCTCTCCATGCAGAAGACTGGTTATATCAACTGGATGTGTCACTCAGCTTTTCTGAATCCCAAGTTTTCTTATTAGAAAAATTAATATGATAGGGCAATGAACACCTGCTGCATGGATTATTGTGAAAATTAATACCTGTTTTGTGAAAATTTACCAGAGCATAAGGTACATTGCCGAGTAAATGATCATTGACCCTAAATAGTGAAAACAGAAGCACACAATTCTATATCGGTACCCAGTAAAGTTGGGAGGGACCCTTAGGCTGTGCTCTCTACAGTTCAGGGATTCTTGTCTTTCTGTTTTTTCATTCCACTTCTTTTACCAGTTACAATGCCTAGCACTTGGCAAGTGGTCAGTGTTTGTGAAATTGTATTAGTAGCAAAGTTGATCACTGCCAGTGTGTGTGTTTTTGGCTTTAAAAATACTGATATATCAGGGGGCACTTGGGTGGCTCAGTGGGTTAAAAGCCTCTGCCTTCAGCTCAGGTCATGATCCCAGGGTCCTGAGATCGAGCCCTGCATTGGGCTCTCTTGCTCAGCGAGGAGCCTGCTTCCTCCTCTCTCTCTGCCTGCCTCTCTGCCTGCTTGTGATCTCTGTCTGTCAAATAAATAAATAAATAAAATCTTTAAAAATAAATAAATAAAAATACTGATATATCAGGATAATGGCCATGTGCCTTGTGGCACTAGCAGGAAAGAGAACTGCCACTCAAAATATTGGTAATAATTCTGGGGCCTTGCATCCTCTCTGAACCAGAAATAATCACTTTCAGGAGAAGACTAAAATGAAGAAAACAGAACCAGCCCAGATTTTCAATAAAACTTTGATGATAAAATGGCCAGTCATTCTTTGCCAGCCAATAGTCACAGTATTTCCTAACTTGACATATTATGTATAAATCGTTGCCTCTTAGATATAAAAGCCCAGGTTCACGTGAGCAGTTTGGCTGGCTTGTCCCTGAGAGATGGCTCAGCTGCTGCGGCTAGTCGTCCAGATGCTCAACGCACCTTCCACATCATTGTGAGCTGGCTCCCACGAATGCCTCCACAATTGCTCCTCTGAGGGTTGAGGTTTCTGGTTAACAAACTTGTAAAATACTAAAGCTCTCAAGAAAGTGCATAGCAGGAAAGAGAAGGTAGAAATATCAGCGAATAAACTGCAGCATCATTTACATCTCTTTCCACTGAGAATTTAGAAGCAGAAACTATTGGCACCTTGAGACAATCCAGTTTAATTCATTTGCAGTGAAATCCAGAGGGAATCAGGTTATCTTTGCTAAAAGAAATGAGATCTCAGCGTCTAATCAGAGGATTTAAACAAAGTGTTATTAAAAGATGTTTTTTTCCCTCTCTATAATCTCTAGGTCCCAGGAGAAAAAAGAAGAGGCTATCACCTTGCTGAAGGACTCCATTAAATACGGTCCCGAGTTTGCAGATGCGTATTCTAGCTTAGCTTCATTGTTGGCCGAGCAGGTAACTATGTCCTTTGAACTTCACATATTTTTAAAAATTTTTCCTGTTGAATGTATATACTAATATTATCTAGATTTTGATGCTAATGTTTCAATTTGTAAACTCATATTGGACAACCAATCTCTATGTCAGTTTTCTTCTTGACAGAAATGATAAGTGTAGCTTTCTTACTCCAACACTCCTGGTCTAGTGAAGGTAGCCTTTAGACACAAATGGTCCATTAGAGGTCATTGATGTATTCTGTGTCACTTTGAGACAGAATCTGTCAAGAGCAATACACAAGAGACACCTAGATGGCTCAGTTGGTTAAGTGTCTGCCTTCCACTTAGGTCATGATCCCAGTGTCCTGGAATCGAGCACCATATCAGGCTCTCAGGGAACCTGCTTCTCAACCTCTGCGGGCCACCCCTCCTGCTTGTGTGCACTCTCTCTCTCTCTGGCAAATAAATAAATAATTTTTTTTAAAAAAAGGAGGGGTGCCTGGGTGGCTCCATCAGTTAAGCATCTGCCTTTGGCTCAGGTCATAATTTCAGGGTCCTGGGATTGAGCCCCACATCGGTTTCTCTGCCCAGTGGGGAGTCTGCTTCTCCCTCTCACACTCCCTCTATGATCTCCCTCTCATATAAATAAATAAAATCTTTTTTAAAAAACCTCTAAAAGTTTAGAATAAAATGAATGAATGAATGAACAATGCATAATATTTGCTTATTTTATTGCTATTTACTTAATTTTTCTGGGGAATTGCTGATGGACTCAGATCTCCAAACTCAATATGCAACCAATTATTGATAATCTTAATAGATCTTGTGTCTCAGTACCTGTTAAAGGATCACATGAGGCTTATAGAACAGGCTCCGAAGAGACAAACATTTCTGGTGGCATAAAGGGATATTTTTCTTCCCCTCCTTCTCTTTACTTGTGTCTAAATGATTGGATACTATTTTTCAGTGTTCTGGATGCATGTCACCTGCTAAGGGGAAACAAATATAAATTATCTTCTCTAAATTGATGATACTGTTCTGTTGGCACACATAAGTGCCTTCAGTAGACAGTGGATTCTGCTCTCACACAATTGCCAGACTGTCTTTAAAGATTTTATTTATTTATTCGACAGAGAGAGAGATCACAAGTAGGCAGAGAGGCAGGCAGAGAGAGAGAGAGGGAAGCAGGCTCCCCACCGAGCAGAGAGCCCGATGTGGGGCTCAATCCCAGGACCCTGAGATTACGACCTGAGCCAAAAGCAGAGGCCTAACCCACTGAGCCACCCAGGCGCCCCCAGATTTTCTTTAAAATCAAAGTCAGCACCTTCCAAAGATGCCCTGTAGCATTCTGTTGGCTTAAATGTGATGAACGTTGGTTACATAGAGGTGCAATTTATATTCAAAAAACTTGGGCAGTTTTACCAGGATGCCAATTTAGAATTTTCTGTGGATATTTAAGTGTCAGAAAGGATAAGCTTAGTTTTCATGTTCTGCTATTGTCCATGTAGTGTAGTTGGGCTTTAAACAAAAGCCCATGCCTGTGGTGGGTGATTTCAGTGCTATTTTAGCACAGTGGTTAAGCAGACAGGAGGATGGTCGTGTTCTGTGTATGGTATACACTGGCTCTCCTCAACTACCTTTGGCTTGTGTTGAAGCAGACACAGTAGGAGACTTCTGAACCAAAGATTGATTCTGCCATTGCTCCTTTTTCTCAGCTCATCCTGTTTCGCTCATTTTCATAGGACCTTTCCCCTGCCTTTGCCTGGCTGGGTGTCTTGCCATTACTCAGACATGCCAAGCATGCTTCTTTCTTGGGGCCTTTGCACTAACTGTTCCCTTTGCCTGCAGCACTTCTCTCCCAGACATCTTAGAGTATCCTTCCTCCTATCACACTGGTTTCTGTGCAAACATTGCCCAATCAGAGGGGTTGTCTATGATTACCCTTTTTAACTGCCAACCTCACACTGCCCATCATGTTCTCTGTCACTTTGTCCTGACTTATTTTTCCCAAATAGTATTTATCATCATCCAACACACACATATTTTTAAGATTTCATTTATTTATTTGAGAGAGAGCATGAGCTGGGGGTGGGGGAGTGGTGCATAGAGGGAGAAGCAGACTCCCCGCTGAGCAGGGAGCTGGATGTGGGACTTTAATTCAGGACCCTGGGATCATGACTTGAGCCAAAGGCAGATGCTTAAATGACTGAGCCACCCAGGTTCCCCTAACATATATTTGTCTATGATCCTTCTCCCCCCACTAGACTATTTAACTCATGAGAGTGACCATCCCTTCTATTCATGGCTATATTCCCATGTCCTTGTATGCAATCAATAAATTTTGAGTGAATAAATGAATCTATATGAACTGAAGGATATATAGTCCCTCCAATCCAGTACATATTCTGAATTTTCCTCTTATATTATGGGAGGACTAAGCATGTAGGCCACACTGTTTTGTAATTGATCATACCCAAATGTGATGTGTTTGTCCTGCACTGAGTGGTAGTATGAGGACCACCATGTGCAATTGCTCTTCATAACCATAGAATCAGGGATGGGCTTGGGAACAGCACTTACTACCTCATGCAATGTCTTCTTTATGAGGACTCAGGAGAATTTCTCTCATCTCAGTATTGGGAAAGGTTCTGCTTCTGAATTGAACGTTTTTTTCCTTTATTTTTAATCTAACACAGGAAAAATCTTGTAAACACTAAAAAGGGTCACCTCTATTTCCATCTCCCTTGCCCCCAACCTCTGACTAACAGCCATCCAGACTGTATAGTCTGCTTTTCTGTAGGTGCTGCTTTTATTCCAGGCTTATCATTTTCCTTAAATTATTTTATTCAAGTTTTATTTCCAATTCTTAAAACTACCTCAATTTCTTTGTGGAATAATGAGGTTCACTCAGTTATACAGTTCACTCTTTTCTTTAAAGTTTTATTTTGTTTTGTTTTTTTTTTAAGATTTTATTTATTTATTTGACAGAGAGAGATCACAAGTAGACAGAGAGGCAGGCAGAGAGAGAGAGAGAGAGAGAGGGAAGCAGGCTCTCTGCTCGGCAGGGAGCCTGATGCAGGACTCGATCCCAGGACCCTGAGATCATGACCTGAGCCGAAGGCAGCGGCTTAACCCACTGAGCCACCCAGGCGCCCTACAGTTCACTCTTGAACTGTGTGGGAAGTAGGGGTGCTGACCACCTGTGCAGTCAAAAATCCACATATTGACTCCCCCAAAACGGAACGACTAACAGCTTACTGTTGACTGGGTGCCTTACCGATAACATAAATAGTTATTAGCATATATTCTGTGTATTATATGTGTAATATACTGTAGTCTCACAGTCAAGGAAGCTAGAGAAAGAAAATGTTATTAAGAAAATCATAAGCCAGAGAACATATATTTACAGTGCTGTCCTGTGTTTATTGAAAAAAGCCTGTGCATAAGTGGACCCATGCAGTTCAAACCCACATTGTTCAAGGGCCAGCTGTAAATAAAATAATGCATTCATTGTTCCCAGCTCCTGTCTTTTTTCCCAGTTCACCAGGACAGATGATAAGCATTTAATTGCTCTTCTTGATGAAAACTGCCCTTATGCTAAGTGACATTATCACTTACCTAATATGAGTAATAATGTAGTATGTTTCATGGAGCTCTTTGCAGATACGAGAATGTGTATCTAGTCACACAGTTCCATCTTCCTAAAATGCCATCTTATCTTTCTCCCCTTAAAAATCCTCCCCAGTTTTCAAGATCCAGTTCACCTCCCACTTCCTCCCCCAACATTTCTCCACCTCCCCTTCTCATGGGAGTAGAGCTCCTATAATATTTATGGAAGCACACATCAACGTGCAAAATAGTCACATATTTTTATTTCTTGAATTCAGATGTGGAACTACAATTTAAACAATTTTTCAGGTTCATTTTCTTCACAAGACCGTAAGTTTCCTTAAGAAAAGCAGCGTCATCTTTGTATGCCCGTTTCTTTTCTAGGGCTTAGGACAGTTCACAGTATGATGCAGGCATTCAGACAGCATGTCTGGATTTGATTTTCTTTGAGATTCAGGTACTCCGTAGTGTGATATTAAGAGCATTTGACAGGGAGCTAAGAGACCTGGTTCTAGACCTTTCTCCATAGTTAACCAACTGCACAGACTTGGGTGAGGAGTACTTTACCTCTCTGGGCCTCAGTTTCCAAATCTGAAAATTGATAAATATTCTAAATTATCTTTACTGCATCTGTAGCACTAACATTTCAAGAGTGTGTCAGATTATCTTTTTTCATGTCAATTAAGTGCTATTGAATTGGTTTTTACCATTTTTTTAATCCAAGTGTAATTAACATACACTGTTACATGAGCTTTGGTTGTACAACAGAGCAATTGAATAATTCTGTATATTACTCAGTGCTCATCAGTATACATGCCCTTAGTGCTCATGAATATTTCAATGAATGCTGTAAGGTTCCACCGTAATTAGTGCTATTGTTTCTGTACAAATAAAGGATTAACATGTTAATATTGTGAAAGTGAATTGCCTTCTTCAGTTCTGTTTTCTTTCTAAATTAATGAGCTCCAAGTTGATGAAAATTTACTGCTCTAAAGATGATTAAGATGTTCTGTGATCTCAAAATGTACTACAGTCCATTCTGCAGTATCTTGCTATTAACACATCTTATAGGAAGTGGAAGTTTAAAAAGGACAACATATATATGTTTTCCTCTGTCATGTTTAAGGTATGTTAGATGCCTTATTTAAAATCAGCTGTGTGATAAATTTAATTTTCATGAACCACAGTGGTAAATTGGAGTAGAGTTATTGTGTGTCACATGGTTGAAGTTATGAAGTTTTCAAGAAGAACAAAGAATGACTACAATCATGATCTTTCCTGCCATATAAGGGTCACTTTCATTTTCTTTGTCTTTTTTTTTTTTTTTTAACCAGGCTTTCCTGCTCTAGGTTCAAATGTAAAATGCTATGAGATCTAAGAATGTAATTGAAAGATTGAAAAGTTTTCTCT